CTGAGCCAGGTAATCAGCAGCAGGTCAGGCAGGGATAGTTGGAAAACAAGCAGGACAGCGGCCCTCGAGGACTGGAATTGGCCACCCCTGCTCTAAAGCATCTGTCAAGTCTTTCTCTCTGCATACATGGCATGAATGTACAGTATGTGTGAACAATATGAAGATATAGAAGACAAAAGTACAGACAAGTAACTAGAACTAGGCTAGATTAGAACAGCCCAATAAGTTGATGCATCAGTCAGTCAGACCCAGGGTTGACTCCCATTTTGGCTTGTTTTAGAAAAAAAGATCAGTTCATTGACTACCAAGATTTTTAAAGATCAAATAAATGGAGAGATAGCCTAACAAAATTATCTTAGATGTGCTGGTGTTTAGTTAGTGACATTTTACAATACATGCAATCAATTAATGCTAATGTCAACTATCAACCATAACTGTAGCCATGTAAAAACACAGTGGGTGCACAAAGCATAAGCATGTTAAGATTATCTGATGCTTCCTCTCAGCAACTTCATTGAAGAATGTTTCTTTTCCTCAAATGTCATCAAAAAGACACCTGACCAAGCTAGAACCTATAGCCATTGAATGAGGAACTCACGTTGGAGTTTAACAGGGATGACAAGATCTATGAATTCTCTTTAAAGAAGGTGAGAAGAAGTCAAAAGGTGTAGGAGGAGTTGCATATGGCATGGTTCATCGTGACATTATAGTGACAACTGTGCTCAGGACCTGTAGTCATCACAATAAAAATGCAACAGGAAAGGAGGGTGTATAAAGAAAAAAAACTTGGGATCTAAAACAAAGCCATGTGGTACACCAAGTGAGATTAGTAGCTTCTGTAAGAAGATTTCTGTATAGTGACAGATAATGAAGGATAATACGTAGGACTGTGCCATGATGGGATCAAAAGAGAGATTGAATTTTCTCAAATATGTCACTAAATAATATGCTTTCTCAGAATTTGGCAAGGAATAGTAATTTTGGAATTCAACTGTAAATTCTGAGGACTGGAAGATCACAATTGTTTCTGAAAAGGATGTCAGATGTCAAACTACCTGGCTATCAGGGTCTCTATGTCGTATTTTCCTGGCCCTGTCACTGGCTGGACTTCTGTGGACTGTCATTCCCCGTCCAGTTTCAAGTTGTCCCTGCATTTTCCCTCCATTTCTGCCTCACACACCTGCGACTCACTCCCTTGTCATACAGTCTTGACTCCTGTTGTGTTTCCACACTGTTTGTGACACGTGGCTGCCTTTAATAAGCCATAGCAGTCAAAAAACAACCTAGAAAAATCTTGGGAGGAAAGTTATGGACATAAAAATGACTGCAATGCATTAATGGTACTGCTGAGCTGACTTTGCAGTTTGTTTGTACTCTAGTCACCAAACCCCAGTTCTGACTGCACCCATTTAATTTCTGTCTCAATTAAGTAAACAAGAGAAAGTCATTATTCCAACTTGCAATTAGCTGCAGGAATAAAAATTAGAAGAAAAAAAACTTGAACTTACAGGTTCCATTTAAAAGAAAACAGGCTCACACAACAAGCACATATGCTGTATAGAGTTTAGGCAAGACTGTTCTGTAATAATTACTCGGTAGGTTGTTTGTGCCAGCAGGTTATTCCAGTAAACAGTTATGTATTATGGTTTGGTTGACCTCTATTGACAATAATAATTATTCAACTCATTCAGTTTTATTTGTATAGCACCAAATCACAACAAAAATCATCTGAGGGCACTTTACATAGTAAGGTCTAGACCTTACTGTATTTAAGAAAAAAAAAACCCAACAACAAATCCCGCCTTAACAGTGGCGAGGAAAATCTCCCCTTAATGGAGCAAGCCTCTGACAGAACTGGGCTCTTGGTGGGCAGCTGTACTGCCTTGACTGCTTGGGGTGAATGGATAGAGAGAAAAGAAGAGCATCAGGTAATAACAAACAAGCAAACATGGCAGGTTAATGCAGTCAGTGACTGCTCACAAACCACAGAACCACAGAGCCATCGACTGAGTTGGCGACGCAGATGGCTGCCTCGGTTCTGTACCGGAAACAAATTCCTTGTGTATAACATACTTGGTCAATAAAAGTGATTATCCTTATCCTTATCCTAACACAGGGGACACGTAGGGTCCTCACCTATCCATCTATTCAGATTTGGGGAAGATGGAAGCACATCATAAGTTGCACCAAGAATAAATCTAATCCTTCCTGCCTCCATGTCCCACATTTCCCTCCACTAAGTTTCTTCCTCTACATCTCCCCATCTCACCCACTGTTCCGGCTGAGCCTTGGGGATTGCCTTTGTACATCTGCCTGCCTCTTCCTGCCTCCTAATCTCATCAATAATTATCTTCCTTCTGTTAGCTGCTGCTGCTTTGCTTCAAGAAGGTTGTGATGTGCTCAGAACAAAATAAAAGTGATTATCCTTATCCTTATCCTAACACAGGGGACAGCATTCCTGTCTATCAGAGCCTTGGCTGAGACGCATACACAACCAAAGCTCTGATTTAATATCCCTCTCCTTACCTAGGCCCCAAACTCTATCAGCATACTGACACAGAAATACAGAGAGAGTTGGAAGGGGAGAGTATGAGGAAAGGAAGCTGCTGAGCCTTGGGGATTGCCTTTGTACATCTGCCTGCCTCTTCCTGCCTCCTAATCTCATCAATAATTATCTTCCTTCTGTTAGCTGCTGCTGCTTTGCTTCAAGAAGGTTGTGATGTGCTCAGAACAAAATCACTATGTCCATGCTGTACCTGCCCTACAATATCCCTATGTTTAAGAGCTGCTTGAGCCTGTAACACTGCCTCCTTCGGGTTGTATTTCCTCCCTGCTGAGACTGTTGGTGCTGCACTCTACACTGCTACACAGCTAGATTCCTGGACAGTGGTATCTCCAGTCTAGCCTTAGTGCATTTAAATTCCTCTGTTAAACTGGTTATAGGGAGTTCCAAAATCTATTTTCTGTACAGGGCCACACTGCTGAAGCAGTGCGGAGCTCCCAGCCACTTACTAATGTACGTGCTAAACAATCTCTGTAGCTTTGCTACCATATGTCAGTGGCCATAACAATTGCGGCAAAAGACCAAACTGCAGGTACCACAGTTTGAGTTTGCCTGGGAGGCCTGACGCCTCTGTGCTCTTAATCCCATCAACTTCCTGCTGTCTCAAGGCCAGAATCTGCTCTTTATCACTAAGAGCTGCATCATACCACCTACCTAAACACAGCTGGAATTGGCTCATCATTTATACAAAACCTTTTAGCCGACAGCACACCTTTCACTACTGAAAGGTCATTTGAGCCAGTGTCCCTCTCTTTTTTTAAAATTACTTACCCTCAAACTGTACTATTTATATTATCCCTCCTTGTCTTCTTAAGGGGATCTTTGTTCCTGCTGGACTTTTTATTTTGAAATTTTTAAATAGTGGCTTGGAGTCTGGAGTTGTTCTTTTGACTTTTAAGCATGCTGTAGTGCAGCTACAAATTAAGAAATTTCAGACCTATCTCTAAACATCCATTGTTTATCAAAAGTCCTGGAAAAAGCAGTGTTGGTACAGCTTCAGTCTCTTCTAATAATAATCACCTTTATTTGGCCAAGTATGTTACACACAAAGAATTTGTTTCAGGTACAGAACCGAGGCAGCCATCTGTAGTGCCAACTCAACCAATGGCTCTAACCATCTAACTAAATGAAAATAAAACTGAGCTTATAATCTTTTGCCCAAATGGTACTTGTGAAACATCTGGTTTGATGCTAGATTTACTTATCTCCTATGTAAAACTGACTGTTAAAAACTACCAAAAACCTTTCAACTAAGGCTTCTGTGAAGGGGCAAACCCTTTCGCCCTAGAAAAGATCTTGAAAAGCGTATCTCAGGCCATTTAGATTACTGCAATGCCCTTTACATTGGTATCTGCCTCTCCTCATTAAATCACCCTCTGACTTGTCCAAAGTGCTGCAGCCTGTTTTCTTACTGACACCTGAAAAAGAAAGCATATCCTACCTATTTTAGCCTCTCTTCACTCATTGCCCGTTTGCTTTAGGATCCAGTGTAAAATTTTATTGATGGCTTTTAAAGCATTAAAATGTCTAGCCCCTCCTTATCTCACAGACCTTCTCAAACCTTACTGTCCTGCTAGATCCCTGCTGACCACTATGCCTGGTTGTTCCCCAATCTAGGAAAACTGAAAAGGGAACATGCCATTTCTGCTGCAGCTCCTAAAATATGGAATGAGGTCTCCTTACAGATTAGACTGGCCCCATCAGTGTTTTTAAATCATTGCTAAAGACACTTTTATGCCCTGGCCTATAACTCTGCTTGACAGTTGCCCTGTGTCCTCCTTTCTTTGTTTGTGTGTGTTTTATTTTTTTACTATTTTAATTGTTAGTTTTTTTTAATTGTATTTATAAGTATAGTTGGAGGTTGGTGATCCTCTCTTTTTCTCTGCTTCTTCCCATGTGTTCTGTTGGTTGTTTTATGTTGTAGTATGTATTATTATATACAGCACATTGGAAACCAGTGTTGTTTTTCAGTGTGCTTCATAAAATGACATTGACATTGACATACAGTATATCCTCTTATCAGTTATATGTATTTGAATGATGGGAATGTATGGCAGTCTTTATAGCGCTGACCTCAAGTTCTTGGTACTGCTGTAATCCAAGCAGTCATTCTGGTGATGTTGTTTTGGACTTGTGAGCATACAGCATACTGTATACCTGCATGTCAGAAAGATTATTCCACTGCCTGTAGCAGCATAATTGTAACAGCACAGGCTTTTGCAATAGTTTGCTACAGTGCTCTATTGATTCACTATGGCAGACAGCAAGATAAAGATGGAATATACCAAAGCAAAGGTCTTTGTTTTATTTTATCTTGAGCAAAGATAAAGCCATGAAATGACCAAACAGGTCTGGTTAAAAGTGGTGTAAAGCCTGATAAAATGTAAAAACAATCTTTCCAAAATCTACTCAGGTCACTGTCACAGTTTTTACTCACCCTGACAGCACGCCCAGTACCAGGTTGAGCATGAAGAAGGAACCGATGATGATGAGGGGAATGAAGTAGAGCCAGTTCCACGTGTTCCCTGAGGCATCATTGGCCTAGACACATAAACGCAAAGACAAATTCTGTTAACAGAATTCTTGCAGTTAAAGAATAAGGCTGGCATTAGTTAATGTTTCATATTATCAATAAATGAAAAGGCCAAACCCAACAATATATTAGTCCATCTCTCAATACTTTGCTCTCCCTACCTCCTCACTATCTCTTGAAACAATTCTCCTACGATGGCAGGTGAAACGGCAAGAAAATCCGTCAACATTAATGACAACATATGTCGAACCGCCAAGCTTACCAGACCTCCATCATTGTGGAAACAATCATAAAACACAAATAAGATTATGGAACAGTCACAATTTCATTTGCTTTACACACAAACAACTTCATTAAGTTTAGACACAAAGACTGCTTGGTTAGATTTAGCAACAAAAACTACTTGGCTAGGTTTAGAGAAAGATTACTGTTTGGGATATAATCATGGTTACAACAATAAACATGCAGTTAAGGTTCTGGAGCAATCATGGACAAAAACCTTTTACACAGGGATCAAACACTAGTCTATTGTGGGAAAGTCCTGTGTTTTCTGACTCACCCATCCACTACAAGCTCTTGCTAATGTGGACTTTGTTGCTCTATGTATGATGTCACCTAAGTTTGTCCTTTGCTCCTGTCATAATTACAATGGTCCATAACTATAACACTTTACTATTGGTCATAATAAACTGCTGGCACAAACAACATATGAACCCATTTTTTTTAGGATGACAAGTCTAACAAAAGTATAAAGAGAGGAGTGCCCATATACTTTTGGCCATATACCGAGAAATACATTTCTCAGTGGGTTCAAAGGCATTTCAGCTTTGCATCTTGATGGTCTGAAGATAAATCCAATCCATATTTCTCAAGAATCATAATTATAGAAGTGCTGATGGGGGCAAACAGGCGAGCTGTATTTGCCTCAGTTGTAATGTTAAGAACAGGACTTAGAAAGAAATGCAGGCTTCACTGATATAACGGAGTTATCATCATTTCACTCTGTCTATACTGTACAATCACTGGCTCCCTTTGAAAATACAAGACAATAATGGGTATCAGCATTGGTATGGAAGAGAGGTGTGGCTGTTTATGTACTAGCTGTTGAAGCAGTAATGAAAAAAGTACCTATCACAATCTGAGACTCATGTTGTGACTTCCTACCTGCCTCAGGGCTTTCTGCTGTATTAATGTTTACAGAATTTCTTACCATGGATAATTATACAGTACTCCTAGTATTGCTTTTGTAGGTTAATTTGATTTCTGGAAATTTCTGAAACTCACTGAGCTGCCTTCCTATCATTCAAAAGTGTATGTTAATTTCTCATTGTACCACCATAGATTGGCTCATTGTTTTGTCACATTAATCTCATCACTGTTTTATTTATCGATGTACTTACTTTTTACATTAATTACCACTGTAATTGTTTCTTCAACACAACAAAGGCATTATGCAGCTCGTTTAGAAGTGCTAGGAAATCCTTACATACAATGTGGCATACAAGACTGAGAATGCATGTGACAGGAGACTACACAAGGAAAACCTGTGTAGAAAAAAGTCACAATATATTTGAAAGTTCTGAAATATAAATGTCTCTTTAGCGGCTCAGAGCCCACTGTACTGTACACTACCAGCTAAACATCAAACAGCAGACAGAAAAAAAGTTATCATTAGAGACAACTTGGTGAACATACATTAAACAGCATTTAACAGCTATAGACACAGCTACATTTAGCCAATTCAGAGCTAAAAGGGGACAGAAAATTGGATTTGTATTCAAAAGGTGGATAGAGACACAACTCCAAATGAATGCTAACTCTGTCTACTTGATGTGTCAGTAGGGTTGCTTACATGGTAACTTTATCAACACAATCTTAAGCACGGTGGGGAATTTTACCTCTAAGTAGACAAAAAAAAAAAAAAAAAACTGATTAGTGCAGCTTTAAGTAGGTGCATAATAATCCCAGGGTGCTTTTTAACACAATTGATAAACTTGTAACCCGAGATAGTTAACTTGTCACATCATCCTAATTTAAAATGAAATCTACTGGATGTAAAATTTAAATAGCTATTTTCATAAACCTTTCTTTTTCTAACCTTGTTATTCAATGTACTATAAAGGGTGTAGGGGGTGACAACTGGTGCTGTGTCATCATAACAAGTCATTTAACATCAAATTCACACTTTCACCACTCTACTCAGTGGGTGGGTGCCTATACTCATCAAATACAGTGCATCAGGCTGCATTGCTTTAGCGGAAATGGCTACACTTTTGAAAATGAATCAATATTTAATATTCAACACCTCGTTAGATTAGGGCACCAGATAGTTATAGTACCATCAAACTATTGAATAATTAGTTAATCAGAGTAATTAATTCAGTCTAGGTCTCAAAGCAGTGAATCCTACCAGTTCAGTGACCCCTTTACTGAAAATAGGAGAGACACATAGGATGACATAATGAAGTCAGTTACTGTATAAGCTAAATACATTTATTTGCAATATGTACACAGGGAAAATGATTGGGATGAGAGAGGTGATTCAAATGTTACATTTGTTAATGTTTTTGATGGATGAATGACCATTCTGTTGTAGCAATGGTGGAAGATGGATATCCTGGTCAAAAATTTGAGCTAGATTCTAGATCTAAATTCCAGGGTTTAATCAGAAATATGGAGAGGAAAAATAATTGTTGATTGCTACAGGTTAGAGACTTTAATTTGGTGCCCTAATCTAACAAGGTATTTGAATATTAAATATTGATATTTGTTTTCATAAGTGTAGCCATTTCCACTACATAACAGAGAAATATTCAAGAAATAATGAACTCCTCATCAAGTACTGAAGTCCTGAAGTTAATGTCACACGGCTGACATACGGCAGCAGAAATTAAGGGGTCAGTAATAATACTGCCATGGATGCCACTGTTCAATTCCCTTTTCCTACTACTAACAGTATACTGTACTGTATGTAGGTTCTTACCAGTGTTCTTCTTTTACCCAAGCCATAGCCAATCCCTGTTAGCCATTTCCATTCTTCTTCATTATTTATTATGTGGATATCTAGAGTATATGCACCAGAAAATTATTTCTAATGCTTTGGGTGACTACTTTGAATCTTCATTAATATACTGTCAGTCAAAGACTGAATTTGAATCGTCCACCCCAGCCCTGACAGGCCTCTGTCATTCTTGACATGTTCACTGTTAGCGCAAGTTTGTGACATGTGGCATATACCTTATTTTCACTTGTTTCCATGTATACAAATCTGATTTCCTCATAATCTCATTTTTGTGAGCAGTTGTTAACACAATTTCCATAGGAATATATACAAGATATTCTTACAAAAATATACAAATATATTTACATTAAAACCTCAATTAATGATCCATATTGTATTGGGTCAGATTTGTTTCCATTAGCTGGATGAATACTATGAATTATAGATTATCTTTTGTGTACAATCTGGTACGGTCTACATTCCAGGCAAACTTTCTAAAAGTCCACAGAAAGTAAACTTAGAGCAACTTGGACATGAATGATGAATTATGTATTTGGTCAGCCTTTGGCGCTCGTGTACTTCATGGGAAGCTGCACGTTAAATATGTAAGTCTAAAATCAGAATCAGAATCAGCTTTATTGGCCAGGTGTGACGGACACACGAGGAATAAACCAGCATAAGGCTGTGTAATATAACAAAATAGCAGTATTAACATCAACAAACAGTGCAAACAATGCAGAAATAGTAGTATAAACAGACAGTAAACAATGCAGACAACAAAGGAATGTTCATTGAAATGAGATAAATAGGGATAAAAAAAATAGCGTACTTAAAAAGTGAGACCTGTACAAGTCTCTATAATCTGTACAATGTATATATACACAGGTATTTCACTGAGGGTTATTGTCCACTCATTCTGTCATGGGTTGAGTGTTCATCAGAGCGACAGCCTGGGGGAAGAAACTGTCCTTGTGCCTGGTTGTCTTGGTGCACAGTGACCTGTAACGCCGTCCAGAGGGGAGGAGTTCAAACAGATTGTGTCCAGGGTGTGAGGGGTCAACAGTGATCCTCTCCGCCCTGCTTTTGACCCGTGAGGTGTACAGGTCCTCCATGGAGGGCAGGCTAACACCAATGACCTTTTCTGCAGTCCTGACTGTCCGCTGAAGTCTGTACTTGTCCTGTTTGGTTGCTGAGCCAAACCAGACAGTGATGGAGGTGCAGAGAACAGACTC